ATTGGCCACACCCGCTGCTGCCCGGACAGTGGAGTGGGGCATGCCAGAATGAGATGGGGCCTGGGCCCCTTTTAAGGCCAGGGGAGCCCTCCCGGGCCCCTCGATGGGAAGCCAGAGGGAATAGGGGAGGAGCAGAGAGGGAACCCCCAAACCGAAAGCCCAGAAAGCAATGTCCCCACCTGGAGCGGGGACGCAGCAGGTGGAGGGAGCGGCCACGTGGGACGTTAGCCTTGTCCAGGAGAGCAGGTGTGTATGCATGAGTGTGGGGGGGGTGGCTGGGAACTGAGGCCAGAGGAAAACTGCTCCCCACTGGGCCCACAGGGGCCCTACAGCGGCTGGGATGCTGTGTAGTGTGTGGTGAGGGCGCAGGTGGGGGGGAGGGCTGGCGCCGAGGGGTGGTAACGGTGGGCCTGGGGGAAGGACAGGTCGGTGGGAGCGGAGCGAAGCTGTCCAGTCCCAGAAGGATGCTGCCCCCCCCGTGGGGGAGCAGGCGGCACGCACGGTCACTGCTCCTCCTCCGAGGACTCCTGCGAGATGCCCTCCTCCTCCTCCTTCTCCTGTTGGTGGGCAGAGTGGTGGGGGTGAGCGATCAGCCTGGCCCCCTCCTCCACCGGAGGCTGCCCCCCCACGCTCCCTGGCTCTTCAGAAGGGATGAGTCAGGGCTGAGTGTGTGGGTGACTCAGCAACCTCCACGCCGGGTTTCATTCATAAAAAGGAACAGTTTAAAAGGAGGAAAAAAACCCACACATGCTGCTCTCCCGGAGCCAGGAGCAGGCCCTTGGCCGCATGGCCCCCAGCCCACGGTGGGGGCAGGAAGGCAGGGCTCCGTGCAGCGCGAGCTTGAGGAAGTGACTGGCTGTGGGGAAGGACAGGCCAGGAGGGCCGGGGAGGCCGGGGGAGGGAAGGACTGGCTGGAGGGTGCAGGAGCCCCCCGTGGGTGCAGGTGCTGGGCTGTGGAGCCCAGGTCCCGGAGTGGCCGAGGGCTGACCCCAGGCCAGGGCGGGGAGGAAGGGGAAGTGTGTGCCGCCGGGCTCACTCACTGGGCGGGAATGTTGGGACACCACACGGGGCTACAGCCCCCGTGCCAGGCACAAACGCCAAAACAACTTGTTTCCTGTTACTCACTCCTGGGGCCTGGCCAGCAGCACCCCTCAGCCCCCCCACCCCATGGTGGCTCAGCTGGAGGAATGAAGGCCTCAGAGGGCTGAGGGGGCATGCTGCGGCTAGGGGAGGGTCAGGAGCTAGAAGGCTGGGATGGCCCTAGCTGCAATGTCCCACGGAGCAGCTTCCTGACAGCCCACCAGCCCGCCACCAGCTACTTGGGGGCCCAGAAGCAGACAGCACACAACTCTAACCCGGCACTCTCAGCCCGGGGCTGAGCTCCTTCACGACTTCTTCCTGTCCCCAAGAGGATCACAGTGAGGACAAGCCTCAGCCCTTCTCGCCTCATCCCTGTACCTGGGGGAACAGACCAGATGACTTCCAACACCACCTCTGGAAGTTTCCAGACTGTTCTAGGAGAAGGATAAGGCAGGGACCCCGTTCCACTGGGGCAGGAAGAGGGGTCTAGCCTGGCTTGTTCCTGGGACCGCTCATTTCTTCTGGGCAAACCCCTTCCCCTCTGGGGACTTCTGCAAAGTGATGTCCCAGCACTCCTGGCCCTGCGGGTGAGGGAGCCAGCTGCCTTTCCCTGGTGGGTGCTCGGGATCACGGACTGGGTTCTCAACACCCTCCCCGAAAGCGCCCAAGATTGGCCATCAGCGTCTCTGCTTCACCTACCAGTTTTTTGGGTCTGCCCCTTGGTTTTCTTCCTGGAGCTGTGGTGGTTTTCTAGAGGGTTAAAGAGGAGATCCGCAAATCACAAAGGCTCAACAGTGTGCCCTGATGGTGAGGGAGGGGCAGCCCTACCTGAGCCTCTCTCGGGGCAGCCCAGGACGGGCGCCCAGCAGGCCCACCCAAGGCCAGCTGGCGATGACTGGCCAGCCACACTTGCCCCCCTCAACATACACACACGCCCCCTACTCCCTCCTCCACCCATGACTCAGAGGATATGAGTCGTGTCTTAGAAAAAGTAAAATAAAAACAAAACAACTTTTCTGAAAGGCTGATGCCACCGTGCATCTGGCCTTCCCCGCTCGTCCCTACCCTTCAGGCTCCAGGGGACCCCGAGGGGAGAAGGTGATATTCCCAGCCCGGGGGCTGGCACAGAGGCTACCCGCCTGGCCGTTTTCCAGACCAGGAGAGCTGCAGTACTTCTGACTCGCCGTCCCCATTGTCCTGGTCAGGACCAAGCCCACCGAAGTGACGCCTCAGCCATCACCACACTTGCCCCAATTAGCAAAGGCCCACCGCCACCTCTGTGGCAGGGAAAGGACAACCCAGCCCCTTCCCATAGCTGTGGCCATGCAGCAAAGAGGGGCCTCTGCTGTCCCTCTGCCCCCCCCCCAGGCTCACCCGGATCTTGGCAGCACCCTTGTTCTTGCTTCCCTTTGGTCGGCCCCGAGGTCTCTTAGGTGTTGGCACTTCGCTGGGCTCCTTCTGTAAAGACAGGTGGGACAGTCACATCCGTCTCCGCCCCCTGAGAAGACAGAACCCTCCGCCCCAGCCAGCAGGGTTAAGTCGGCAAGAATCACCCCAACCTAGGAATCCCTTCAGGATTTAAGGCCTCAGCTTGACCACCGCTGCCAAGTGCCTCCCCGCCCCTCCCCTTGCTTCCCGGGGAAAACACAATGACGACAGGTCAGAAGACCCTTGGGGAAAGTGTCATGGGGACAAAAGACACTGTTAGGTGACTCTACCCAAGTCCCCGTTCTGCCACAGAACATGATCAGGACGCTTAATGCTGGAGCTCCGGTTTCCACAATTCTAAATGGCGGCAAGACTGACCTTGTAAGATGCTATGAGTCAAGACGCATGTAGGGTAAGTAACCAGCTCTGGGCCACAATCACTGCCCACCCCTCAGATGACTGATGCTGGAGATTGTTGGGGCTGCCGAAGAGGGGAAAGGACCCCTCCTTGCCTGCACTGCAAACCCAGACCCTCTCCAGGCTGTCTCCAGGAAGAGGAATTACGCCTGGACCCTACCATCATCGCAGCTGAAATTTTAATCAGCCCAAGACAGAATAAAAAGCTGCTGCATAGCCGGGCTCTGTGGCTCAGCCTGTAATCCTGAGCCTTTGGGAGGCTGAGATGAGTGGATTGCCTGAGCCCGTGGGTTCGAGACCTGCCTGGGCAGCGAGACCTCATCTCTACAATAAAAAAAATTAAAAAAAATCAGCCGGGTGTGGTAGCGCATGCCTGTAATTCCAGCTACTTGGAAGGCT